TATTTCTCATATCTAGTACTTACGATTTCTATTTCATTTAAATCATATTTTACTCTTTCTCTGATTTCATATCATTTCTTATATAAGAACAATTTAACTATTAGCTTTTTCACATAGTAATGCTCTAGTGATATAATAGTTTTCACAATATGAATTACATTTCAATAATTCATTCCAGTTTCTATTAGCATTGACTGTAATCGTCTATTTAGACATTCATAAAAATTTATATATTTACAGTGGAGCATCACAATGCACTATGTTCTAGTAACTTATTATGTACATAAAGACTGACTACTATATTTATACGTATTTTCAAAACTGTTTCTAATGTATTTTATAATAAATTGTATTATATGTGAATGCTTTTTACAGTAACGCATAATTAATCCTCATTACATAGTGCGACTTTGAATTATTTTCAAGAGCACATCAGTGTAAAAATGTGTTGGACAAAATTATTAATTTAGGCATTGCCCAGAGCCTTTTGTTCATTCCATACAGTCAATAACTCATTTGGATCACCATATCCATGAGATGTTATTACATACTTGTAATTAAATTTCGTATAGTCTTTCTTATAAAAATGAAATTCTTCGCAATGAAAAGGTTCAATTTCTGCTTTTTTGGCAACTAGGCCTAAAAAGATATCATCGAATTTGAAATGCTTAGTATACAAACTAGTATAATACATATCTAAAAGAGCTTCTTTGGACAGTATATATGCACCAGCTGTAACATAGGGCGGCCATAAATGGTATGGATACTCGCTGAGAGATATATACCATTTGGAGGATTTGTGACGATGAGGTGATGATACAAATACAAATCCAGCAAATAATCTAACATCTTCAGGAAGTTCAAAATCAAAAATTTGTCTTTTGGTTCTATTTACTATCTCTGAGTCTTTTAATATCTCTCCTTGAAAAGGTCTTAATTTTAAATTACTGTACTGTTTAGTATCATTAACCGAGGCAGTTGTATTTTCGTATAAATCTTGCTTCAATGGATAAATTCTTTTTGCTAACTTCCCATGAATAGTATATACAGACGTATCATTATCAGAATCTTCCCTTTCATCAGTTTCTTTAATTTCTCTTTTATGAGCATCGAATTTTTTCGGTTCTTTCAAATAATCGGGATAGTTAGCTGGATTTCTTATAAACCGTAAAACATTTTTCACAGACACATACATATCATCGTCGACGAACATATAAAATTTTGAATTAGTACAATACTTTACTAGCCATTTAAAGCCCATCATAGTTTTTGTAGTATTATTGTAATATGAATCCATAAAATCTGCTTGCACTATGTCTTTATACTTCGCAGCCTCAATTTTCACTTTCGCTTGAAGTTCATCATCATGCGGATGGTTGCCCAATATAAAAATTGTCTTTGAAGGAACATCAAAAAATCTGTTTTCAAAACCCCAGGTCTTCCTGATAGTTGATCTCCTCTCAAAATTTTCTACTGACGATTTTATTACATAGACAACACGGAATGTATTGGATGCAACATCTACACATTTTTGTTGATTGTCAATCAAATACGCAAACTTGTATTCGTTTATAGGATCAACAACGGGCTTTTCATTATTTCTTAATGCATTCACGAATTCATGTACATCACCTTCGTATGGGTAAGCAAACTTTGAATCATAAGGAATTTCAAATAAATGTGTGAATGCCCCGAAAAAATCTAGTAATACAATAAAACCGAAACCAAGGCAAACATACTTCAACTTGATTTTTGTTGCCAGATGAAGACTTTTTTGGAAACAAGGCCTCAACAAACAATACATGCTTACAGAGAGCAATTTACATAATTAATGGTTTATTATGAATCTGAAAAATGATATACATGTACTATTTACATATATTTTAATTTCAATCGAAATAGATACTTACATAATTAGCATGTATCCAATGTTAAAAGTTATTTTAACATTGTAAACATATTGATATTTCAATTAAATCAATATTTCTCTTTTAACTTCAATCATGTATTTGCAGTACGTGTCATCGAATTTTCCTTTCATCTGCAATTTTTACTATCCATTTGCATTATGTGTTTATCACATATACTTTGAACTTTTTTGGACATAATCAGAAGTAATCAAATTAATGTATCGTACATCGTATCAAATCAAGTAAAGTATATAGATAATATATACATCTCGCCGGTGGTCTGTAATAAAAATATCGTTATTGTGTTTTGGTTTCAAAGACTGTCGGCAATAAAGTTAGTTACCAATACTAATTTCAGGAATTCCAGAACTGTTTTGCGATTTATATTTGAATCGCGAATATGGCTACACTTGCTTGCAGAATTAATACTCCCATCACGTTTGCGAACCTGCGTCCTGAAGTTAGTTGTTCACTTCAAAAGAATCGGAGCAAAGATGGATTCCTAAGAAATTTTTATACAAAGCAGTCATTCGACTTTGGATTTTCTTCGCTAAAATTTCCTTGAAACGTTCGAGATTATTCTTATATGACCAACTCTGCCGTGTGAACGATGATCGTGCAGGAGCCAGTACAGGTAATTGTCGATAAAGCTTGGGAAAAGGTTGCTAGTGATGTGCGATTTTCTGTCCGGGCGCATCCACACTTATTGATACTGACGTGAGAAATTGAAACCGTTTACGCGTACATTTGTTGTACTCGATCGAAAATTGATTCCGAGTTTCACCCTATATTTTACGATGCCACCTTCATCTCGTGTTACCCTATTTTCTATCAAGATTCTATGTGATGACGTTTAATATACGTTCTTACGCGAGGGTAAATTTCTTTAGGGTTGTTTGCTTTTGCGAAATGAATGTAAACGGGAGGGGATATGGCTATAAATAAGTACAAGCGTTTACGATATTTACGAGTTTCTTATATTTAAATTAACAAACTTTTATGACTACGGGATATTGATCAATTAATCAACAAATGTTTTGTATGTTTTTGTATTATTGTCCTAAGAGTATTATCGAGCATTCTTGTCATGAAGAGTTAACATGCACTCTAGCAATATTTTATGGTACATGTAATTACAGGCAGCCATATGGCATTGTTTAAACCATTATGCTTATCCGGATGCTATATTCCTAGCAGAGAGATTGTGTGCAGAAGGTACGTCGTCATCGCATTTGGTTACAATTTTTATATATTACTTTGGTATTTTTAATTCTACAATTTTATTACTATCAATTTGTAGTTGACACGGAAGAAACATTATTCCTTTTGGCAACTTGTTATTATCGATCGGGACGAGTTAGACAAGCATATTCATTACTATCAAAAAAAGCACCAAATTCTGCACAATGCAGATTCCTTTTAGCCAAATGTTGTTACGATTTAGAAAAGTAAGTTCTGCTGAGTAATTGTAAGCAAATTTTTGCTTCATCTTCTGACATCAATCTAGATATGGAATTTTTAATTTCAATCTTCAGATACGCAGAGGCAGAAGCAGCTATAATTGGTGGATACTACAAGCAGATGAAGAATTTGGAAGAGGTAGCTACTCAATTTGGGGAGCATGCTTGCTTCTCGCTTCAGATTATAGCTAAAATTTATTACAAAATGATGCGTACATCGAAAGGGAATGATGCGCATAAACTGGCTTTGAAGTTAAACCCGTTTCTCTGGCATTCATTTGAAGAGTTGTGTAATGTCGGCGAAGTGGTGGATCCCACAAAAATATTTCAATTAGATAAGTTAGACAATTTTGCGATGTGCCATGGCAGCACTCCCACCCCGACTTACACAGTTGAGTCCGATCTCATTGTACCTACGAATAATTCAAACGGCACACCTACTACGAATGGCACGAATATGTAAGTATCTCAATCTTCATAACTCCGTCAGACTTTCGCATTTACAACTGTACGTTTATAATTTTACATACGTCTTGTAGTACCCCTGCACAAATCACGACGACATCGACCATAATGAATGGTATGGGACCTGGTATTCGGTTGTATTCCTCGGTAGACGAAAGTCCACAGAATTTGCCTACGCATTATAGTAATTGTTCTTCGATATCACCAAGAGCTAAACTTCCACGGTATCGTAGTATGTTCAATAATACAATGAGCCCTCTTACTCCAAGCTTTGGTATTTTACCATTGGAAAGCAATACACCTGAACCGACAGTTTTACCTTCGCATACTACTCTTACAGAAGCTAACGATCAGAAGAGTTTAGCGAAACGCGTCAGTAGCTTGAGGGCTCACGTAGGGGTAAGCATGACATTCCCTAAACTTAAGTATTTATTAGTATTAGTGAATGTACTAAATCGTATACAAAAATATTTCAATTTACAGCAATTAATGTCTAGAAAAGATACTCCTTTACAGCAAGGAAAACCGGTATTTTCGCAATCGGGAAATACGAGTAATAGCGCTAATATCGTAACAGTTACACCTACCACTCCAACACCTGCACCACCAACGCTGCAAGGTACAAACGTTAGACGTTCGTCGAGGCTCTTTAGCCATAGCTACTCGGTCAAGGTAGTATCCCTTTCTCATTTGAATAAATATTTCGTCTTTTATGAAAATTGCAAATAAAATTTGAATATAAATTGTGCATACAGGAAAACAATAAATCTCCGAATAGAAATAAATTTGCTACCCCTAAATCTCCATCGCGGAAGACGAAAACTCGGCTCTCCAAGACGAATTTGAATAAAGCTAATTTTAACGAGTTAAATGAGAGAAATAGAAACGAGAAAGAGAAAAGTGAAACGATCACGTCCGAAAAAGCTGTAGCTTGCGTAAACGCATTGAACAACCAAAGTAATGTTAACGTTTCTGCGATAATACTTCAGAAACAATGCGCAGGTACGTTGTCAAAATGATAATTCCACTTCCGATAAAATTTCACGCTCTATAAACAAGGTTTCATTTAATTTCTGTACTTTCAGAAGGTTTAATGTCGCTGCTGCAGAAATTAGGGTTGGCATATCAATTTTTAAATCAATACAAATGTACCCAAGCTATTGAAATACTAAGTGGTCTTCCGGTACATCATTACAACACAGGATGGGTATTATCCATGTTGGCTCGTGCGCATTTTGAAATGGTAGATTATAAGAAAGCTGCTAGGTAAACATCCAATAAATTATCAAATTAAATGAGTTAGCTTTCGACTTCGAATCTTAACCAAATATCTTTTAACAGTTTTTTCGCTGAAGTGAGACAGTTGGAACCACAGAGGACGGAACTTATGGAAATTTATAGTACAGTTTTATGGCATTTACACGCTGAAGTACAGCTCTCGACTCTCGCACAGGAACTCGTTTCCGAAGATCGTAACTCGCCGGCTGCATGGTGCGCTACTGGAAACCTGTTCTCAGCGCAAACTGAACACGAAACGGCGATCAAATTCTTTCAAAGAGCTATTCAAGTATGTCTACTCTTAGATTTTAAAATCAATGGAAATGTTAATTTCAATATCATGCCAATAAGTTTACGTCGATTATACTGGAAATGAAACTTTTGATTTTTAAATTTACAGGTAGATCCTAATTTTCCATATGCCTATACACTCCTTGGTCACGAATATGTCCTGACAGAGGAATTGGATAAGGCAATTACTGCATTTCGTAACGCCATCAGACTAGATTCTAGACATTATAATGCATGGTAATTACTAATTTAAAGCGAAATGTTCAAAACGTTTCACTTTTTAACGAACGATTAAATATTGTTTTTACAATACAGGTTTGGATTAGGAACAATATTTTCCAAACAGGAGCAATATAGCCTCGCAGAATTGCATTTTCAACGTGCTTTACAAATAAATCCACATAATTCAGCGATAATGTGTCACATCGGTGTCGTGCAACATGCATTGAAGAAAACTGATCAAGCTTTAAACACTTTGAACACTGCTATCACGAATGACCCTGATAATAAATTGTGTAAATTCCATCGCGCGAGTATTAACTTTTCGATTGGACGGCATGCGGAAGCGCTTAGGGAATTCGAAGAATTGAAAAATATTGTACCCAAAGAATCTCTAGTCTATTATTCGATAGGAAAAGTAAGTAGCGTAACGATCTCTTTATATGTCGCCTAATCTACAGCATTTCCTTCTTTCTATATTTAAATTCCTTTCTCCTCACAGGTACATAAAAAACTGGGTAACACCGATCTTGCACTAATGTACTTTAGTTGGGCGACAGACTTAGATCCAAAGGGTGTTAACAGCCAAATTAAAGAAGCTATATTGAGTCCAGGTCAGGGAGACGAAGAATCTCCTGCGACTCAGTCTGGTAATTAACATATTTCTCTTTTTTAGAGTGAAATTATGTTATAACAATTGTTTTAAACGTTCACTATGTTCCATGTACGCGTATTTATAGATGAACAGCAGATGCAGAATAATTCGATGGAACAAGAAATCGAAACGAATAGAGAAGGAAGTGCCGCGGGCTTGGCCTCAAACGTCTCGGTCGAAGCTCACGCTGATGACAGCGACGATAGTTTATGAAGATACCCTATTGTCTGCAAGATTGCTATAAAATGATTACTGCGCGTGTTGCTATTTAACTTTTGTATTGATCGGCACGATCAATTTTTTCAATTAACTTAGCTCGTTACGAATTCATACTTTCGTGCACTCGTCATGTGAGAGCAGTGCTCGGACGTGTACATCTATCAGTTTCTTAACATAGTTGCTTGCTCTCCCATTTCGGGGAACTAAAACGAGAAATTGTGTCTCTTTAATTCTTTGGATCGTAGCCCAATTCATTTTTTAATTGTGTCCATCGAAAGGAATGATTTTCGAACGATCAAGACATTCTCCAAAAGGATAGAGAAGGAGAATACATACGTATATATATATATATAATAAGAGAATGATATAAATTCCGCAATATCTTCTTCATCGGTTTTGTACATTACGCGTTTCACTGTATATTTTTTACAATTACTTCTCTTACTTTTATACATACATATGTTCGAGTGTTTAATCACTTTTGTTAAGGATTTACGGTTGAGTACAGACTGTATCGAGTTGAGTTTATGAGCGAGTGTAAACGTAAGCATGCCCGTAAATAGATAGGAAAGATAATTAATTAACTGAGTAAAATAAGTATATAAGAGGAAGTGTAAATGTAAATTATTATTATTAATTATTATTATTATTATTACTATATTATCAATATTATTACCGTTAGCGTACTATTATTCGTACAACTATCATTGCTAATTTAGTAATCACAAACGAACAGAAGAAGAAAAGGAAGGAAAATGAAAAACAATATTTTTGGCCACGTGTTCGTGGTTGTTGGACGATCGTGCAATCCTCGTCGTGAATGATAGTCATCAGTGGATCGGTCCTTTCGTGCTCGAAGTATCCGAAGAAGGGATACGGACGATTTCAATTATCCGAATTCGGGCGAATCGAAATTTATCCGTGAACGCGAGGTAATCTTGAAAAGGTCTGTCTCGTATATTCATCAACGAAAAAACTCGGTTATTGTTCTGAATAAATTGTACGTACTATGATCACGAGCTCGCCGCACAGTGCAGTATTAATTTTTTCATTCCGACGTGCCTTAAATACTGTCCAACACACTATAAATTTTCTTGCTTGCATCACTGCGGGTTCGATTCGACTCGTCTTCATTATCTCGGCCAAACGTATTACCATGCATTGTTATACACTTACATACTTTGATGCACGTCGCATGATCTTATTAACGATTGTTTTATTCAGAACGATAAACTGGGTGGATTCGATACGAATCGTTGTAATAGATCTGTAGGGGCCTTGTTCGATTACTTAACTAGGTGTATCGCGACAAGATTCTCTTTATCACGATTAATGATTACGCGCCACAACGTTCTCTAATGTTCGCAAGAAAAAAAAAGTAAAATTGTGCCCTGTATTCGGCGTGATATATAATAATATGCGTTATCGTGTTATCAGATTCTACGTAAAGAGAAAGGTATACATTCTAATGATGGAAATGATTTACGATCTACGTGCTGCATGAAATACTGCACGAAACAAGAAATGTCGTAGCATTTTATATTGTATACATTCGAAGGAAAACGAAAGGGGGAGAGAATGGAAGAAGGAGAAAGGAAGAAAAGAGAAAGAGAGAAATAATAGACATATTTAGACGAACTGCCGACTGAAAAATCTGTACATATATAATATATAAGCATACGTATATGTGATACGGCATCTCGTCCCTCTTTATTTTTTGATTTTGAGCGCTTCCCGATTGTATTAAAACCCGCGGATATTGTTTGCAAGCATTTCACAAAATGATTGATTTGCTCACTTTTTGATCTATTGCATGCGAGGGATTAATTATTCAACTGAATCGAAAGAGATCGTTTTTCTTTTATTTGTTAATCATGTCTGTGTAAAACGTTTGAGAATCGCTATATACAAGGAAATAAGGAAGCGAAATTATTTAATCTCTATATTTATTTTTTCTTGTTACATGAGTTTTAAAAATCAATTACAAAAAGATTTTTCGCATGCAAGCTTAAACCAAAGAAAACAATTTTAACTCATCTATTATTGACCGCTTCGACAAATCTGCGGGTTTCGAATCGCGGTGCACTTTTCAATTTCTTTTTGTTCTTCTTGATCCTAACAATTTTTCTTCATCGTTTAATTATAGGTATTTATTTATTCATTCTTTTTTTCGCACCTGATGAACGAAAGTAACACGGCTCCTGATACAAATAAAAAATTCCTCTCTCGTTAATCGATTTTTAACTGTCCCTGGAAACATTTAATTTTATCACAGAACAAGGAACAAGAGATAAAAATTTCTCGCACCATAATTTTTATCAAATCAAATTCCAATTCTTTTCAACACATACCTAGGAACAGTTGGTAAAAAGTCTCGTAACATGTTTCATCGTCAGTTCAACGTTAAATCGATGACCGTTTTAAAACAATTGTTCTCGTTTTAACGAAAAGTTGTTCTTATGGCCTGGGTTACGTATAACACGTTTGACTTGTTTCCGGAATGTTTTTTGCTTCGTCTATCGCGGTACGTACACACATATTCGAATAGTGATCGACGTAATCGAAGAGGTACGAGCAATGTTAAGAAATGCTGTCGTGTTACTCGTTATGAACAAATGTATGTGCAAAATAAAGGCCTGCACTTTGTACAAGGTGTTGTTTTCTTTTACATTCCTACAACTCGTCTTCCTAGTGACGTATGAATCTTTTATAATTCATTTCAACAATTTTCACGGTATCAAATTTTGTATTAATAAATGACGCTTTCCGTATATTTTTCTTAATCTAATCATGTATAAATATTAGTTATTTTTATCATTTATTGTATACTGGAGAAAATAAATAAAATATTTCTAATATAGATTTTTATTCTACCTACGTATATATTGAGAACAGATCATATCAAGTTATGGCATTTTAATTACGTAACTTTGAATGCATATCAGTTAGAAATTTACTTAAGCATTTGTAGGCGAAGTGGGATACTAGTGCTTAGCGTTTTCCTTCACCAGTCGTAAGCAAAGTCCTAACAATACAATTCTGAGAGGACAAGGAAAGGAAAATTACAGTGCATCGATTTGTATTTACGTGTATCATTGTTCACGCGTATAATCATTCCTCGTGCTTTATTTATCTCTTATCATGTTATGTAATTACAATTCGTCTCATGATCTTTGAACGCGCAGCTAAGTTTTCGTGCATATTCGACTGAGACATGGCATCAAAATCAGTGTCAACTGGTAAGCACGTACACTATATTTATTTCAATTGTTAAAAAATTTTCTTTTAACAGATTATTATATACATTGTACTTATAACATTGTAATAGTATTTAATGTATTGCAGTCATAATGTTTAATACTTTCCTATTCTACAAATAAACGTAGGATTCCTTATCTCAATAGAATTTCTAAACTGTCGATCTTCATTAAAAGTCTTACCGTCAGAACGTAATTTTTGTTAAGTACTCGGAGAGAAGGATGCGGGTCAGCTCGGGAGAATACTTACGCACGAACATCTGTCTATGACTTTTACCACTTTCTATTGCAATCCTCCGTCAAATCTGAAACGATTTCTTGGTGGCGAAATTAAGCTTGAAAATGCTGGCATTTTGAAACAATACCCGTAAGTGAACAAATAGATAAATTCTCTACCTCTGCGCTTCCAA